CAAATGGCAGATAAACAAAGCTAGCAACTAGCTGATGGGACAGTTGCACATTTAGACAATGAGGAACCCAAAGTTTACCTCAGGAGTTGGTGATGAGCTAAACAGAGCCAAATGAAGAGGGGATCGTTGACATAGGGTGGACACAAACATAACATCAAATAAAAGCTAACGCATTTTCCATGTAATATTATAAGGTGAAAATATGTCAGTGTTGTGCTTATATCTTGTTCAACTGCCCCCAAATGTACAATACACACACAAGAGCTGTACAATATGAACATAATTTCTAGGCAGACTGCGCTGAGATAATGTAACACAATGGCGCTACGATTACAAGAGACAAATTTATGGCTGCAAATTGTGACATAAGAAGGTGCATTTGATTATTGTTATTATTATGTGCTGTTTGAATATTGCATATTCATTTCCAGTGATGAACTTGACCTTCAACTCCATGTGGTATGATGAAGTTTGAGATATAAGTGTGATATAAAGTCTTACAGTTTCTAAAATAGTTATTATTAATTTAATAAGTAATTATTTCATCAGTATAGAAGCCTTATTGGCAATATGTCATCATAATCTGCCTTAAAACATTTTAGGTCTTATTAGGAAAAGTGACTCTAGTAAAACAGCACAGACATGCAAGCAGTTTGTCTAGAAAGTGATTTGAATATCCTGACAATTGTTGATGTTCTTATTTAACCCCGTTAAAAGATCAAGTAGGAAATCCATCACACATTGTAATCCGGTTGAGCTGCGATTCAATTGCAGTTTTTGAAACTCTTTCATTATCTCAAGTGGTGAGCCACTTGTTCCCGCTGAGAGCCACAGTACAGTGTGTGACATTTAGTAAATCCTAAAGGCTTCTATACCTTTTGTTGTATGCATTTAAACAACACATTAAAGCCAGAATGTTCCTTGTGGAACCTGTCACATTTCCCAGGTAAAGCAGATGAATAAATAAAGCTCCACTGTTAGTGGCTGCAACTACCCCCCCCCCCCCCCCCCCCCCCCCCCCCCCTCTTTGTGTGATTTGCTGTTGCCTTGAGTTAGATCCTGATCTCTTTGTAGGCCCTCTCCCAACAAGCATTGACCTTCTGCTCCGACATGTAAAGAGCTCCACGAGATCAGAAAAGGGAGGGGGAATCTGTGAATAAAGGCATCACCACTGCGAGCAGCCAAGAGACTTCATCCACTTCACTCCACACTTCGCTCCCTCTCCCTCTTCTCTGTCTCTCAGTGTAGCTTTATCTCTGTGTTCAGTGTAGGAGCGGAGATACCTTGTTGGCGGCACAAAGGAGCGGTTCTGTAATAAAAACAGCTGTCTCTGGTGGTCTCGGTGTAATTGGGATTGTTAACGTGAAGAGCTCCTGAGGGAGGCTGAGAAGAGTATGTCTTTGTGTAAAGCACACAGACACCTCTGCAGCACTCCTTGATTCGGATGTAAGTAAGAGAGTGAGGAGGAAAAAAAGCAAACAAGTCACCTGAGTTATATCAAGCCGTGCTGCATGTGCTCCTCTATTTTACTTTGGCGTTACTTTTATTTTTAGACAGTGCAGATTTATTTATACGTGGTAAAGCTCCTTGAAGTGAGAAAAATCTTTTCTTGCACAATTCCACTGAGGGTTTATGTTTTTAAAGGCAAGGTATGACTGCACCTTCCAGCGTTGAGACAAGTCTTTTTATGAAGGCAACATTCCCTCCAATTACTGTATCAGCGTGATGACACAAATTGAGGCAAAAAGTATTTAAAACTGGAAGAGCATTTAGCTGACTATATGGCAAAATTTTAAAAAGCGACACAACAAAACAAGCTAAATCTCAAGGGTGTGAGAGTTTTTCTCATTTGGAGGTTTTTTTATATTTTAAAATGCTTGTTATATTGTTAAATAATTCTGAAAAGCCATTATAATCAGTGTATTTGCTTTCCTCAATAAAGCCTTGTTATGGGTTAGATTTATTTATTTATTTTTACTAATAAATTATTCAAGATAAAATTAGCCTATAATATTGCATATAACTGTGCTATATGAGCCTAAAAATACAAATGAAATATTACAAAAATAAAACTACATTATATATCATTCCAAACCGTTACGTTATAAGCATAAGAGGCAGTGATCCCCACTAAAATATCTGGTATTGCCCCTTAATTGTGTTCCTGTTTGCCATGACAGACCCTTCAAAAGTAATTCTGTTAAACAGCCTGACATACTGTCCTCCCTCAAACGTGAGAAAGCTGTTGGCAGAGGAAGTAAAAGTCTTGGGTACGTGAACACACTCACGAAAGTGGTGAAAATGCACTTCAAAGTCAATTGCATGGGAGCAGCTCGGGCTGATTTATTTGACTTAAGATATACTTTTTGTGTGTTTCATTGTGGATGAAAATTTCATACACCGATTTAGAGGTGGTGAAATATAAATGATTTCTTTAAAGTTTCATCATAAATCAGTCTGTCGGTATATGTGAGCAGACACTGATTGCTCCTTGATGTCTCCTGAGCCTGATCTCTGTCTCCCCTGATGTCTGGAGGTGGCTCCAGCAGCGCCTGTTGTCCCGCTGGGGAGGAACATATTTCTGCAGCTTGATGGCTCTCTTGCAATGTAAAACTACTATGCAGCAATGCAAACAGGATTTTTGTCGCAGCCGTGGGGACATACTACATGTCTGTGTGCATCAAAATAACAGAAAAACGGGAGCTGACATCTAGTCCTTCACAAAGACCCGTCGTATGGAAGAACGCGTCTACCGCCACCTCAACGCTGCTGTAACATATGTAGCCTCGATTAAAACGCTTTCACACTTTATTGAGGCGATGCACAGGCGGTGGCCACATACCATGGCGAGGAAGTTTAACCTATAATTAGGATAAGACCATACTTAATAATTGCCGGTGAATTTTATGCGGATTCCTTAACATTATATATTATTAATATATTTAAGGAGATTGAGGGGTGCTTCCACTATCTGTCAAAGACACTGATCAGTGTTTCACAACTGCTACAAGATGTGTCACATTTCCGTGTGTGTGTGTGTGTGTGTGTGTGTGTGTGTGTGTGTGTGTGTGTGTGTGTGTGTGTGTGTGTGTGTGTGTGTTGAAAATTATAGCCATACAGGAAAAGAAAAACAAAATCCAAAAGTCACTGTTTACTTTCTAACCTCCGAGAGCTTCGTTACATCATAACAATTATCTCTTCCTATAGACATGACCATATTAAGGAAATTAGACACCCCTTGTTAATTACAGCGTGATTGAATGTTTTAATTACATTAGCGATGATGTGGCTTAATTAGAGGGGAGATAAGATAATAGCCTGCTATGACAAGTATATAGATTTGCAATTAAGTAGTGCTAATTATTTTAAAAATCCACTCTTATCGCCATTCATTAAGTAGTAACTAGCGTCCTTTTTGCATGCAAAACTCCATGCATAAAACCACACAAAATAGTACAACACATATTATAATTTTCTTACAAAGTTTACAAATTATTTCCGGTATTTTACACTGGTTTTATTAATATGGAGAAATTTGTTAAAGTAACAAAGGAGAAAAATTGCAGGCGATAATATGAAACCTTTCATTCTTAAAATTTAGACAGAAATAGACAATCCGAGCAGTTGCCAATGCGTTTTTAATTTTTTTTACATCTTTTATTTTTACCTTAGGTGTCTTCATAAAAATCATAGTAGGCTAATATTATTTTGACTTTACGATAATAACTTTGATTTATTTTGACCTCAGCAGGTGGAGTGGAGCTGTCCGTGGTGTTAATTCACTTTCTGTGCTCCCTCGGGGTCGCAACTGTCTGTTTGGCAGAGCCTAAGTTGAATTTTGTTTACAATATTCAACAATAAAATATTTGCAGGTGCAATAAATCGGAAATCAATCAAAAAGTCCCTGAACTTCATGAGACGTGGTGCTGGTAACGAGGTGTTGGTGATAAGAAGTAGAGTCATTTGAAATAAATGCCCTGTCGCAGACTGCCCATGCGCAGAGTCCCCAGCGGCGGCGGCGGCGGCGGTGGTGCTGGTGCTGTGGCAAATGAAGGATAATAAATCATGAAAGGGTTTTTCAGGTGCAGCTGGAAAAGAGTGTGTGTAGGCTATGTGAGAGGGTGAGAGACTGGGAGAACTGCAGAGAGAGAGAGAGAGAGAGAGAGAGAGAGAGAGAGAGAGAGAGAGAGAGAGAGAGAGAGAGAGAGACAGAAGGAGAGTGAGGGTGTGTGTGTGTGTGTGTGTACTGTGTGTGTGGTGTGTGTGTTTTGTGGTGTGTGATTGAGAGAGAGAGAGAGAGAGAGAGAGAGAGCGACCGAGCGAGCGAGAGAGAAAGAGAGAGAGAGAGAGAGAGGCGGAGAGAGACTCAGTCTGCCCTTCGCCTCAGAGCAGAGGCAGTTCGGGTCCCCGCAGCATTCAACGTAGTCGAAGAGGCACAATACAGAGACTGTCACCACCATTACTTCTCACTTACGGTCATTTCAAGACGGAAACTTTTGACAAAAAACACCAACAGGTCAACGAAAGCGGCAACTCTTCTAAACTTGAAGTATTTTGGAAATCCTAAGAGACGGAGAGAAACTTTTTATTTTTTATTTTTTTCTGGCGTCGTCTATGAGGAGCTCTGCCAAAAAAAAATCCAAGGCAAAAAAATATCATATGATACAAGGTGGAGACAGTTGAAGGAGAAAAAAGAGAAAAGGTTATTTTGAACAATCGCGCCACAAGTCCACAAAGGAAAAGGTATCGGCTGCGCTCAGTTGCATGGCTTGTTGGTGCCTGCGATATCTCATTTGCCAAATAGACGAGACACCTCCATACCTCCGCTAGTAATAATAAATAGATGTGATAACTTCAGTTCTGGACGACCGTCTTCTGCCTATACTTTATTCGACAGTGACTTGAGATTCCTGCGAAGCAATTGGGCTTCAACTCCCGACCGAGGAGGCGGAGTCTTAACTTATTAAAAGGAACTTGCTGAGGCTTGGACGCCAGCAAATATGATGATGATGTCTCTGAACAGCAAGCAGCCTTTTGCCATGGCCCACACCAGCTTGCCCGAACCCAAGTATTCGTTGCATTCCTCCTCATCATCCACTTTGACTTCCAATGCACCTTCATCCTCCTGCTCGTCCTCCCGACACAGCAGCACCATCATCAGCAGCAGCGGCAGCAGCAGCTCGGAGGCGATGCGCCGAGCCTGTCTCCCAACCCCACCGGTACGTATTCTGCATAATCACTGCTTAAAGGCACATTTTGACAGCCCACTTTTTTGCTTGATGTTTTTTTCATGTCTGCACAGCAAATCACCCAACACCTCCATATTTTTTTCCTCTGCTCAACTTATGTATTCAGTCGGCTTTGCCTTTCGTATTAATTTTTATGACCTGGGATGTTGCATGTGTCTTGTTTTGTGTGCTCCTTTTTTAGGATTTCTTTTTTTCACATTCTGGAAATGTTTTAAACCGAGGAGTGGAGGGAGAATTCCCTGCTGACAGTTATGTGTGCATTCTATTTGCAATTGCAGAGCAATATATTCGGAGGCTTGGATGAGAGTTTGTTGGCCCGGGCTGAAGCTCTAGCGGCGGTGGATATAGTCTCGCAGACCAAGAGCCACCATCACCCTCCACATCACAGTCCCTTCAAGCCGGACGCAACCTACCACACCATGAACACTCTCCCCTGCACCTCGTCTTCCTCCTCCTCCTCCTCGGTGCCTATTTCTCATCCGTCCGCCTTGGCTGGCCACCACCATCACCACCACCACCACCACCACCACCAGCCTCACCAGGCACTGGAGGGGGACCTGCTGGACCACATCACCCCGGGACTGGCACTAGGAGCCATGGCTGGGCCGGATGGCTCGGTGGTTTCCACGCCTGCGCACCCTGCCCACATGGCGGGCATGAACCACATGCACCAGGCAGCCATCAACATGGCTCATGCCCACGGGCTACCACCGCACATGGGCATGAACGACGTGGACGCCGATCCTAGGGACTTGGAAGCCTTCGCGGAGAGGTTTAAGCAGAGACGGATCAAACTCGGGGTTACCCAGGCGGATGTAGGGTCAGCTTTAGCCAGCCTGAAGATTCCTGGGGTGGGCTCCCTCAGCCAAAGCACCATTTGCCGATTCGAGTCCCTCACGCTCTCTCATAACAACATGATTGCTTTGAAGCCCATCCTGCAAGCGTGGCTAGAAGAAGCCGAGAAATCACACAGGGAGAAACTTAATAAACCCGAGTTGTTCAACGGCGCAGAGAAAAAGAGGAAGCGCACGTCGATAGCCGCACCAGAGAAGAGATCACTGGAGGCCTATTTTGCCATTCAGCCGCGTCCCTCCTCGGAGAAAATCGCAGCAATTGCAGAAAAGCTGGACCTCAAAAAGAACGTGGTGCGGGTCTGGTTTTGCAACCAGCGGCAGAAACAGAAACGAATGAAATACTCTGCATGCGTCTAAAATCGCTTTAAACCACCCACCAACGAAAAGACTTGGAACAGTTTAGAGACGATTTGTATCATATTTCCTATCTCACACCTTTTTTTCAATCATCGATGACTTTGTGCTTTGAACTTCGAAAAATTCCTAAAATTGAACAATGACTGAAAAACTCGAAAACCCCCACAGTCACATCTTTTACTCGCTGAGGGGGAGATGTGGAGTCGAGTAAAGCATCGTTTGACAGAGCAAGTAAGACCACTGTTTCCACACATACTATGCTTCACCTTTTTAATGTCAACGCAGTATGACTTACAGGACTCTATGCTTTCATTTTTATTTATGATTTATTTCAAATGAGGACTATAGTTTGCGTTAGAACCCAATGAAAATAGCATTGGTATTTACACACAACGGGACTAGTTTAACTCAAAGCACTTGGTTGGTGACTATTGGTGTTTATATTTTTGGCTTATAGGATAAGCTACATTTTCCCTCCGAGTTCATGACGATGCAGTCTGACATTTATTCAGGGTCCATGAGGGGATTAAGAGGACAACACACTACTTGGTCTCGAAAGCTAATATTAGATTACTGCCAAATAACCCTCTGTAAATGAATAATTTACTTGTCACACACTTCATTTTGTGTCTAAATGTGTAATTAATTCCACCTATTTTGTTACCATGTGTGATCTAAGTCAGGGATATATTTTCAAGATACCTGGGGTTTGGATTAAGGTAGGGTTGTTTATTATTAGGCCTCAGTATGTGGAAATAACGAAATAGGGACTCACTTATAGGATGTCACAGAATTTCCCAATTAAAAAAATATGATTTCTTGCCGGCTGCAATAAGTTTACAATCCAGCGTGGGCCTGTATCTTATGAACTATTTATTGAGTGAGGTCATGTTTACTTCATTATATATTTATTGGGATTCCCCCCACCTCGTTTTGCTTGAGAAAATCAAATTCTGACAGCAAGTTAAGCGTGTTGTTCTGGTTTAAAGGGAAACGACTGTGAAATATACAGTCACAAATTTTAACTTACGATTTCTAACGTTTGAGATGGTACAATCGAGATATATATGAGATAGTATTCTCTTTTTAAATTATTTTATGTATGTTTTCTGGTATTTATTTGTATAAATATACGCGCATCATTATGAAGTCGTTGCTTGTTAAAATCACCTTGTTTAAGTAATGTTTTTTCTTGAAGAGAAAAGAAACAGCTTCATGGAAGTATACGTGTACAATGTAAATATTTCATTGGAACCAGTCGATGCACATAAATATATCCGTACAGGTTTTTGCTGTATTGCTGTTTTAGCTGAGGTAACTTATTTCTGTAATGTATGTTGCTTTAGGTTCCTGGTTAAATAATTCTATTAATTTATTACATCCATGTAATTTTAATTTATTTAATTATTGAACTGCAATATGTGTTTCATTAAAGAACAAACTTTAACATTTAATCGGACGTTTTACATGACTACACTGTGTAATGTGGCTCACCCAGACATATTAATATTCTTTTATTTATTCATCTATTTATTTATTGATGATGAGGAGGGGAACGGTTTAGCTGGGGGCTGCACAGCTTGTAAAAGATATTTTGTGGATTCTTGAGGCTTATTTGACTAAAAATATTGCCATTTTTTAAAGGTAACGTGACTTTACCGTTACCAAAAGGTGTCAGGTTTGATTGTAGAAACAGCCATGAGACCTGTCACAGTACTCATGAGCAAGACACCACCAACAACCCCTCCCCCACCCACCCAATCTGCTCTCCCACTGTCTGGGTAAGGGATGAATAACTAAAAATGAAAATGTAAAATGTAATTAGAAATAGCTTTTTTGCCTTTAACTTCTGATTACACCGTCCTCCTCCAGGCCTAATCATAAGCAGGCCTTACAGGGGTCCCTGTTCTCTATCCCATCAATGTTAAAGACACACGTGGCTTCTTCACTGACTTGCTGCCAGCTTATGCAGCTCACTGTTGCCTTACCTGAGAGCAAATGCTAATATTCTATTAGAGTCTAATCAGGGGGTCTATGGAGAGCTGGATGGGTCCCTGGAGCGCAGACTTGCCAGATGTCAGCCCGCCAGAAAAACAGCTCGCCTGCCAACGTGCCCGTCTCTATTTAAATACACACTCAAACATGCTTCGTTCGTGCATGCGGGCACTCAGGCTTTGAAGCAAAGGCTTTGGTTCGAAGTTATGGTTGAATATGAGGAAGAAGAGGATAAAAAAAAGAAGGGAGCATTTTGAATGTCATGTCCATGGCAGAGTTGCTGTTTTGGGGCTTCAGGGCTGACTGGCTGGTTGAGCGCTGAGCAAGCGTTTCAGCACCATGGACAGATACCTGAGAGGCTGCACCAGCCAGACATTAGCATTTCTGAAACCTGTCCTCCACGTTTACACTCATTACTTACAGCACCTGGAATACATTTGCATGGGATTAATTTTGGATAATTTCTAGTTGATTGTAACAGTAAATTTTACGCCAAACAGAAGGAAGCAATGTGATTTTACTATACTTGCAATACAAAAAAATAACTGAATCAAAATATTTAATTATTAGCCAACTGGAGTTTTGACCCTCAAAAATGCTGTGTCAAGTGATTTTACATTTTTATAACCATAAAAATATTATTATGCGCCTCTAAGCTTTAAAAAGTGTCACATCACGTAAGAATTGGTTGAATTTCCACAAAAATAAAATACATATATTTTCTATTTTAATTTACAAATCCCTTAATTAACTCAAATGTGTCACATATGTTCTTCTTCAATATTAATCCAACAAAAACCCTTTAATAAAAATGACTCCTGACTTGAAAATAACGACTACATTTCATTAATCCACAAACCAAACATCTTCACCCGCCATCCTCGTGACAAATTAAGAGTATCAAAACGAGCCTTATTAATGAGACAGCCATGATGGTTCATCAATTAAAAGATGCTCCTGGTGAGTGCTTCTAATTTCCCCTAAATGAGCCATTCACTTAATACGTTAATAAGAGCGAATTATTAAATTACACATCGAATTATGAAAACCAGATAATTATGAAGAGCGAGTTAAGTAGTCATTAGCTATCCCTGTTAATTACCGCTGGTCAGGGAGGGCTGCCGAGCGAGTGTCTCATCGGGAATTGAAATTAACTTTATGCAGTGAGCCTCGCTGCTGCTTGACAAGCACAGACAGACAGACAGACAGACAGACTGCTGCTGCCTGCATCCACTTTCACATTATTGGGAGAAAATCGATCTAGATTCTTTGATAGTGAATCAATGTGGCCCCAGCACTGAAAAAAAAACTGAACACAAAAATCACACATAGAAAAAAAGAAAGGCCTCAGCACAATGAAAAAATCGAAATCTTTTTTTATATAATAAATAGGCCTATGTGGGTTTACCTTAAAGCCACAGACACATCTGCTCACACCATGCTGCATGGGCTCCATACATTGAAACGTACATGCAGAAAGACACTGGGAGCCTGCTATAAAACGAAAAGGGCAGCGCTGTTTCCTTTTGTTATAATTACGCCCTCTGTTTTATTTTTCTCTTTCCCCTGAACATTTCCCCCCTTTCACAGGGATACTGATGAAAATTTAATGAAGCCAGGGACTGTCGGAGCTCCGCCTGGGGACCTGAGAGTAGAATATTTTAACTGTACATTTACGCCAAGTGTCTGCCTTCAAAGACGCGACTGCTCTCGAATTAGACGAACTGTAAGCCATAAACTGAACGCGCTCCACACTATATAACCCTTTATTTATCATCTGTTGGCTCTATTGCATCCAAAAAGATTGGGCAACACCCGTCAGATGGCTGCCTGAATGTGAGGCGGCAATCGCCATTTGATATTGTCGCCAATCAGTTGTTGTTGATGCAATATTAATCAGCCATCAATAGTCATTAGTTTGTTAAGTGTTTTCCAGAAACTAATCGATGGAGCAGCATTGGATGGCTAGGAGGTGGTTGGTGGGATACTTTTTGATCTAGGACGGCATGCAAAGGAGGGAAAGCCACTGTGTCTGCCAATGAAATAGCTCTCTCTCTCTCTCTCTCTCTCTCTCTCTCTCTCTCTCTAATGTATAATCACGCGCGCGCAGCCACGCACACGCTCATAAACAGAAGAGTTGATGCCAGTTGTAGACACAGGCTACTTTTTCTTGAAATACTATATGTTCGATTTGACCAATGGAATACGTTTCTCGCTTTTTATTCTGATTGGAGACTGTATTGTTAATTAAACGACACAGCAAGTTACTGCGGTTTAATAATAGACATGAGTTTATAATACAGGATAAATACACGCGAACAAATTTGGAGCCTGAACTGGAAAACTTAAAGTTGGGAATTTTCCTGTTCCGATCAACTGATTTAGGCTACTTTTAGAAATGTGATATTATGCTGGGGTTGGACACGGCTATGAGATATTTCCTGCGATGTGACAGTTAAAAGTCAAGTGCATTATTGGCCAGAAACAGATGCCAAACGTGTTATTTATGCGTTTAAGTGAGAAATAGACAATTATTCTAGGAAAGGCCTGAGCTGCATAACCTTTATTTTGAAATCTGAAAACAGAACTGTGTGTTGTAAACATTGGATGTTGTCCAGACATATGTAGACAAGAGTTCTTCATTAAAAATTCATTATGTCGATGTATTTAAACATAACACCTTTATTTTAAGTCAGTTTATATTTTTAATGCAAAAAATTAAAGGCAATGTTTTGTTTTATGCACCCACTTCACCCAGTGCAATAACACTTGTGTCAAATTAAAACTTTAATTGACAAAAAGATTGTGAAATACCCACATTTTCAACTTTTCATTAAAAATAGAATTTGCAAAAAAGAGAAAAAAAATCTGTCTTAATTTAATGCCATTGGAAACGTTCACAGCCTTCATAACTAAAATAGCTCAGGGGCGTGATTAGAGGGTGGGTGCTGAGAGGTCATAGTCACCCCTGACATGTGGCTGCCACCAAAATAATGATTTGGATG